CACGGCGACTTGGCGGGCGGACTCGAAATGGTCGTCGCCGCCCTCGACGACATTTCCGCGCGCTTCGACATGTTTCAAGTCGAAGACGCATCCGACGACCGCGTTGCCAAGCGCTACAAGATGTACCTGCAGAAAAGCCTTCTCACCTCGCGGCCGTTCAAGCAAGCCGTCGCGGACGTGGCTGCCATGGACCGAGCGGCGGGCGCTCACGCTCGCTCCCACCGTGGTGGAAACCACGGCGCCAAGGCGTTCGCCCCAAAACGTGGCCCTCCAACCTCGGGCAACTTCCAAGGCTTTCGTGGTTCGTGTTTCCGCTGCGGACAGCCAGGCCACGTCGCCAATGCCTGCCCTCGGAATGGGCATGGGGGCCAAGGACCCGCACCGGTTGTGTAAGGTTCGGGCTATGGTGAAGCACGCCTCTAGGCGCGATGCACGGTGCACTTTTGAGTGCTTAGACCGTGGGCAGCCTAGTAGGGCTTGCGGTGGCCATGGCCAGCCCTAGGATAGGGTGGTAGAAGTTGGCCATAGGCCTAGCTTTGGGGAAGAGGAAGAATGCCTCTCGGTCCCCTAGGATAGGGTAATAAAGTATGGCCGTAGGTCTAGCTTTGGGGAAGAGGAAGAATGCCTCTCGGTCCCCCGTATGCCCCAATTGATGGGATGAGAAACATGCTAGTAGGCATGACAATGTATGACCATGAGAGATAGGGATTTTATTAAAGGCCCCTCTTGTTTGTCAAGGATTAAAAAAAAAAAAAAAAAAAAGGAGGAGAAGGGGAGAGGGAGAAAAAGAGAGTACGTACGCTCCTCACTCAAACCGCCACCATGCATGGCAAGGATGAGCAGCCCTGGTTCAACCGTTGGAAGCCCAAAAAGGGTGAGAAGGAGCAAGGGGGGGGGAGTAGGGCATAGCGATGTCGCCTAGCCCAAGTAAAGGCACGCGCGAAAAGACACGAGCCCATGACAAGCGAAGCATGCAAATGCTCAAACAACAATGGAAACACATCCAAAAAGAGAGGGAGAGAGAAAGAGCGAGAGAGAGAGAGAGATAGAGAGAGAGAGAGAGAGAGAGAGAGAGAGAGAGAGAGAGAGAGAGAGAGAGAGAGAGAGAGAGAGAGAGAGAGAGAGCACACGAGGGAAGCATGATCATGGTCCCAAGCATCAATCCTCCAGCAAAAAAAAAAAAAAAAAAAACGAGGGGAGGGAAAAGGAGAGAGTATAAGAAAGAGTTTGCCAAGGTGCGATCGGACGCCCTATATGGAATGACGACAAACCGTCCGTATGGTCCTCACTGTTGACGGTTCATTTTTCGCGCATGCATGTATATGTCACACGCATGAACTAATTAAGGCGTGCAACCTGATTGGTCGCGTTCATTTCCTTGCCGTACATACAGGAGCACAACAATACGAGGTGCCTCGCGACGATGGCCCGTACGAATTCGCCGTCACGGACAAAACCGTCACACGGATGTGCGGTCGGCTTCGCTCGACCTTTGCGTGGTGGAGCTCATGGTGCCCTTGCAGCCTCGTCCTATCCATCATCGCCAACGGTTACTGGCTTCCATGGAGCCACGGCCCACCACAGGCCTTTCGGGAGCGTAACCACGCTGGTGCATACGCGCATGCGTCGTTCACACGTACTGCCATCCAAGAACTCACAGAGACCGGAGCTGCAGTCGAGACAGCCGCAAGCGAGCTTACGTGCATAAGCCCACTTAACGTGGTCGAGCAGAGAGAAAAATGCAGGCTCATCCTCGACCTGAGAAAAGTCAACACAAACCTCATCGTCCCAAAATTCAAGTACGAAGGACTCAGCCGTGTGGCAGACGTGGCACGCGCTGGGGATTGGATGTTTTCTATTGATCTCAAATCCGGGTACCATCACATCGATATCCATCCTTCATGCTGGAAGTTTCTCGGTTTTGGATTCGATGGGCGCACTTACTCCTTTCGTTCATTGCCGTTCGGTCTTGCGACAGCCCCATTCATCTTCACGCAACTCATCAAGCAGCTAGCCCGTCGCTGGCGGGAGCAAGGCATCCGAGTAGTACCATACGTGGACGACATCTTATTCCTTTGCCAGTCAAAAGCTCACGCGCAGGCTACTTGCCACCGTGTAATACTGGACCTTAAAGCAGCAGGTTTGGTGATAAATGCGAAGAAATCACAGCTGTCACCATCGCAACACCTTCGATTCTTGGGTGTGGAGCTAGACACGGCCACGGGCCGATTTACCATCGGTCCCGAACGACGAGCCTCACTACATGCAACCATTCGGAACCTGTTGAGCGCAAGCAAGGCATGTCGACCCGTCTCAGTCCGCCAAGTGGCCAGAATCACAGGCATGCTCGCGTCAATGGGCGTCGCGCTGGGCGCAACAGCTCGTGCTTTTAGCCACGCCATGCTACAAGTGATCAATGACGCACCTTCATGGAAAAGCAGCGTGATCATCCCCCCAAACGCGGCTGAGGAGCTAAACTTCTGGCTCGAAGAGTTTGATAGGTTCAACGGTGCACCGTTTCACGTTCGAAACAACTACGACGCTGTCATCCATGTGGATGCTAGCGCTCACAGTTGGGGCGCCACTTTGACCACATTTCCTGGCGGCCTCGAAGAAGCTAGCGCAACAATGCCAGAGCCGCTGCGAGCGACGTCCAGCACACGGAGGGAGATCGAAGGTGTGCTTTGGGCACTCCAAACATACTCCAGCAAGATCACGCACAAACATGTTCTTGTGCGGGTGGACAATCAGGGCGTCTTCTTCATCCTTCGCAAAGGTGGCTCGCGCAGCCCCGACCTTACCACGGCCTGCCAAGACATCATTCGACTATGCATGGAGCACGGCACGCGTCTAATCATCGAATGGATCCCACGGGAGCTAAACTCACACGCCGATGAGCTCTCAAAAGCAGTCGATCATGACGACTACTCGTTGAAGACGCCGTGGTTCCGCATCTTAGAACGGCGTTGGGGTCCCCATTCCATCGACCTCTTTGCAAACTCCCGCAACTCCCAGCTGCCACGCTTCTGCACGAAAATTCCTCATCCACAAGCCACCGCAGTCGATGCATTCTCGCTCGCATGGACATCAGAAAATAGCTTTGCGTTCCCCCCGCCCCATTTAGTTCCGGCCGTCCTCCATCACGCACAGCGCACCCGTGCATCGCTCACATTGATCATCCCACACTGGCCGGGTGCAAACTGGTGGGCACTTTTACAACCTTCCCCACGCAACTGGGCACCGTACATCCACGCGGACATTCCCTTGACACACGGCAGCCAATGCCTGGCAGCTGGAACACATTCCGCTGCTTTTTCAGGCACTGGATTACCACACAGCCCAATCATCGCACTTCGGGTGGTTTTTGACTAATTGAGAATGTACGCGCCTTGTGTCCAGATCCGCTCCCAAAGCTACACAACCAACTCATCAACATGCTCACACAATCGCGAGCGAATTCGACAATCCGTACATACGAACCGTACTGGGCCAAGTTTCGGGCCTTCTACACAAAGGTGGATCTTCCATTTCTTCCCGCATCCGACATGACCCTCGCGCTATACTTGGTGCATGCAATCCAACGCAAAGCAACCTTGTCTGTAGTGCAGCTCACGTGCTCGGCAGTCAGCTTCGCCCATCGCATGACTGGAAGCAAATGCCCGACTGTCGGACCGTTTACCACCCAAGTGCGGGACTACGCGAAACGACACTGCCCTCGCCCTAGTCGTTTGAAGGAGCCCGTATCAATCCAACAAGTTCGGGACATGTCCGCGAACTACTTGCAGTCGGACAATCCCGCTGAATTTCAGAAGGGGTTGATCCCTATCCTCATGTACTCCGGATTTTTGCGATACTCCGACCTCGTTGCCATCCAGTGGCAAGACATCCAATTCGACGATGCAGTCATGTGGATCCTCATCCCACACTCAAAAACGGACCAGGCTGGTCGTGGAACCTGGATTCCCATCGCTGCAACGACGGACCCTTGTTGCCCCGTGCGCTGCACCCAACGCTTCCTCCAACTCGCTGGCTATGGCCCTCATTCCGAGGGGTCGTTGATTCGCGTTTTCAGCCACGCTTCAGCCAACAAGGGCCAGGCCAAGCCACCCTCGTACACAACGATCCGAAACTGGTGTAAAGAAGCATTCGCCAAAGTAGGACTTGGGGAGCAGCAGCTCGGCACGCACTCCTTCCGAAAGGGCGCGGCAACCGTAGCCGCCAACATCGGCGTGCCGGACAGAATCTTCAAAAGGATGGGCAGGTGGCGAAGTGACACCGCCAAAGAGATGTACGTCACACCATACGTCGGACATCTTATCAAGGCATCCCGCGACCTACAGGACCCGACATACGCGCTGCCCCCAGAACAGCACGCAGAGGCACTCTTACGCAACCGCAAGCCACCACTGGCCATGTCTCAGAGGCCCCAGTTGCAATGAGAACGATGCCAAATTATAAGGACAAGAAAGCAAGCTTTCTCAATATTATAATTTCTAAACACATGGATGTTTTTCAAAATTGTGTATTGTGAAAGCGAAGCTGACTGTACCGAATATTTGGCAGCGTCGAAGCGCGCTAAACGCCCTTCTCCAACTACAGAAACCGTGGGTTGGAGTTCATTCCCTCCACCCACGTTTCTCGTTTTCCAACGGCTCAATCAACATCCCCACAACCCACCCCGGACCAACTACAAGACCACAGCTGCTTGGACGGACGACTCCATAGCTAGTAATATTTGCATGTACTAGCATGTGTTTACGAACGATGCATATGTTGTAATAAGCCAGTTGCAATGAGAACGATGCCAAATTATAAGGACAAGAAAGCAAGCTTTCTCAATAACAGAGATTGTTTTTAAGTTCACTATTGATCAAATTAGTCACCCTCTATGGTGTGCAGGTACACTAGGGAACGGATAACAGTGGGCGCCTTGCCTGCAGCCCACAGGCAGGTTCCCATTAACACAGAAGATGCGCAGAGTCCTCCCGCCTCGCCAGACCCTACAACCTCCCCTTCCTGGGCTTGGAAGAGCGCTTCTTGCAGTCAGGCAGGGGTTTCCCACAGAGCTTGGGGTTGCCGGGGCGGAAGCAGGAGGTGGGCAGGTCGGAGAGAGAGGGGGGGACGGAGCCAGAGAGGGCGTTGCCAGCGAGGTGCACTTGCAGGGAGGGGGCAGCAGCACGCAGCAGCGCAGGGATGGTGCCTGACAGCCCGCTCCACGACACGTCCAGCTCCTGCAGGGCCGTCAGCGATGCCAGCCCTGCGGGGATGCTGCCGCTCATGCGGTTGCGCGCCGCTAGCAAGGAGTGCAGAGCGGTAAAGCGCGAGAGGGACGAGGGGAGCGAGCCGGAGAGCTGGTTGGTGGAGACGTTGAGGGAGAGGAGGGAGGAGGCGCAAGAGGAGGAGGAGGGGAGGAGGGAGGAGAGGGGGCCAGAGAAAGTGTTGGAGGAGAGGAGGAGAGAGGCGAGGCGCTGCTTGCCCTGGCAGAAGGCAGGCAGGGAGCCCTTGAGCTTGTTGCGTGAGAGGTCCAGGTGGGTGAGCGCGGGGGCGAGGGCGAGCGAGCGCGGCAACGAACCCGAGAGCAGGTTGTCAGAGAGGTCCAAGTGGGATAGGGCTGTGAGGCCGGTGACAAGAGCATCGGAGATGCTTCCTGTGAGCTTATTGGAAGAGAGGTCCAAGTAGGCGAGGGGGACGAGGGAGGAGCTCTGGCTGTTCCTCTGGGGAGGGTCTGGGATGGGGCCGTAGAGCTGGTTGTGGGAGAGGTCGAGCAGCGATAGGCACGAGGAGAATACGATACTAGGGATGCTCCCAGTGAGCTCATTGTGGCTCAGCCGAGCCTGTAACTTGCATGCAAGCTCCACTTTTCCTGATCCTGTCGTTCGCTCCAAAAACGGGTAGGTCTGTTGCGCAAGAGTGCCATTGAATGCATTGTAGGAGAGGTCCAGATAGGTCAGGCTCATGAGCCCACCACTGTAACCCAAGGCCGGCAGATTTCCCGCCATAGCATTGTGAGACACGTCCAGGCTTTTTAACCCCCTGCCCTCATGATAATGCCACCGAGCCATCCCATCAAGCTTGTTCCAACTCGCGTTCAGATAATGCATTGCAAATGGCGGCGGGGGGACCTCTCCGGTGAGCCGGTCGTGGGACAAGTCACATAATATCAGCGAGCCACTTAACTTGGGAATGGTGCCGGACAACTGGTTGTACGATAGGTTGAGAGTCCTCATGGAGTATATATTGACGATGGCAGGAATTGAACCTGTGAGCTGGCAGATTTCCCGCCATGGCATTGTGAGAGACGTCCAGACTTTTTAACCCCCTGCCCTAACTAAAATGCCACTGGGCCATCCCATCAAGCTTGTTCCAACTTGCGTTCAGATACTGCATTACAAATGACGGCGGGGGGACTTCCCCGGTGAGCCGGTTGTGGGACAAGTCACATCTTATCAGGAAGCGATCCAGCTCAGGAATGGTGCCAGACAGCTGGTTGTATGACAGGTCGAGAGTCTCCATGGAGACCAAATTGACGATGGTGGGAATTCAACCCGTGAGCAGGTTGTGTGAGAGGTCCAACTCTCCTTGCACTGTGTCTCGCAGGAGCGTGGCAGGGATGGGTCCCGAGAGCTGGTTGTGAGACAGGCGCAGCACTTTCGAATCGAAGCTGTCGTCTTTCGCAAAGAGGTCCTGAAGCGGGGCGCTGATGCGGTTGTGTGAGAGGTCCAGGTAGTCGGCGTTCCAGGAGGCGTTGCCGGGACCGCACGTGAGGAGGTTGTGAGAGACGTTGAGTGTGTGGAAGTGTTGCGGGAGAGGGGAGAGCGTGGCTACATCGCCCGAGAGCTGATTGCTGTTAACATCCAGACGAGTCAGCAGCGGGAACACCCCGCTGAGACCCCACAAGCCAGGCGCACTGGAGGCAGCAGAGTCGGCGGTACTGCCATCGCTGGCAGCAGCAGGGGGGCGGAAGGCGGCAGCGAGTGCAGAGACGTCCCCCTGGAGGGCGTTCCCCTGCAGCTGCAGGTGTGTGAGCATCCAGAGCGCGCCGAGCTCCCTTGGCAAGCTGCCGTCCAGCCGGTTGTGGTCCAGCGCCAGGCGCGTCAGCCCCGTCAGAAGACCCACGTCAGCTGGAATGGACCCCGAGAGAGCGTTCTCCCCCACGTCTAGACTCTCCAAACTCGGTGACAGCAGCGGCGGCGCCGCCGCCTCCGCCCCTGCTGCTGCTGCTGCTGCTGCTGCCGCTGCTGCAGTGGCGGCTGGGAGGAGCTCTCCCGTGAGGTTGTTCCCGCGGAGGGAGAGCTCTCGCAGCGAGGGGAGGGCGAAGAGGCCCGGAGGGATGGAGCCGGAGAGGTGGCGGTTGGAGGAGAGGTCGAGAGTGACGAGGTGAGAGGGGCGTGAGAGGGACGACGGCAGGCCGCTGGAGAGGGCGTGCCCGGAGATGCGCAGCGAGGTGAGCTGCGTCAGCTGCCCCAACGCCTCCGACAGACTCCCGCCCGCATTGCTGTTCGAGCTGCCGCCAGGAAGGCCCCGCAGGAAGAACCGCAGTTGGCGGGGAGGCGGCGGATCCGCGTGCCCGCACATCTTGAATCCGTACTTGTCGTATTCGCAATGGGGCGTTTCTGGGACGACGTTGGGGTGCAGGAAGACGTTGGTATTGCCCTCCAGGTGCACCGTGTCCACGTGTCCGTCTGCTGTGCATCCCACGCCGTACCACGCACACGCGCTGCTGCTGCTCGCGTCCCAGCTGCGCAGTGTCTCCGCCCACGAGCTGCTTTCGCCATCCGCCAACGCCGTTCGCCCCGCTGCTCCCCCCGCTGTTTTCCCCAGGAGCGCATCACGCACGGCCAGCAGCGCCTCAGTCTCCGCAGCGGACGCCTGCACGTTAGGCGACAGTGCGGGGAGGTACCCCGCGCCCACGGCGCCCGCCATGCGCGCGCTGTTGCCGCTCACGCGCAGCACGTCCCAGTCGTAATTCCACGCCTCTCGGCGCGTGTCAAACAGCGGCCCCGACAGCTCATTATTCCGCAGGTCCGCGCACGAGAAGCCGCCGCTGAAAAACACCTCGGGAATGCCGCCGGAGAAGTTGTTGTGCGACAGATCCAAGTCCCCAGACGGAAGCACCGTGAAAGCCGTCAGGCTGCGCAAGAGGCTGTTGTAGCTCAGGTCGATCTGGATTATCCTACCCAAGCCGCCCATGGAGGGCCTCCGCCCCGTCTGCGCATTCGTCGCCAGGAACAGGTCGGGCGGAACGCTCCCCCGCAGCCCCGCGTGCGGCGCGCTGAGCATCTGTAGCTTCGGGGGCAAGACGCAGCCGTGCAGAGAGCCCCCACCTTCCTCCCCCTCACCTCCGCCGCCGCTGGCGTTGGCGCTGCTCCCAGCGGTCCCTCCGCTCAGGTCGTTGAAGCCCAGCCAGAGCTCGCGCGCCGGCAGCAGCGCGTCGCAGAACGGCCCGGTGAGCGCGTTGCTGTCGAGCCGCACCTCGTCGAGCGCCTTGAGCGACTCGAAGTCGCGCAGCGCCGCGGGCACCGCGCCGGATAGGCGGTTCTCCCCCAGGTCGAGTTTCCGCAGCGCCGTAATCTCCTTCAGCGCGGGCGGAATAGCGCCGGAGAGGCTGTTTTTGCGCAGGATGAGCGCGGTAATGCTCTGCGAATACGCGCCCGCCTCCTCCGGGAGTTCCCCCGTGATGTTGTTGTTCTGCAGGTCCAGCCGGCGCAGCGCAGGCGCGCGGAGAAGGGCGCGCGGAAGCTCCCCCGATAGCGCGTTGCCGGACAGGATTACCGTTTCCAGCGACGGGGAGTACGCGTCGGGCCCGTCGGGAAGGGACCCCGACAGGCCTTCAGATTCAACTTGAAAGTACGGGTAGGGACTAATCATGCTGAGATCCACATGGCGGAGCGCGGGCAGGCGGAAGAGGCCTGGCGGAATGGGCCCGGATAAGATGTTTTCGGGCATTTCAAAAATCTTCAGCTTCTGGAGGCGCGTGACGGAGTCCGGCAAGTCGCCGGCGAGGCACGAGTGGCGGAAGACCAGCGAGGAGAGTTCCGCGAGATCGCCAATGGCGGGCGACAGCGCACCGGGCGGACAGCTCCCTCCGCTCCCGCTGGGCCCGGGCATGTCCTGGCGGCTGGGGTCAGAAAAAATGCCCGTTATGCGGCCGGCGGGCGTGCACTCGAGCGGGCACCAGAGGCGGCACGAGACACCAGCGGGCGTGGGCGCGACGCAGCAGTAGGAGACGTTGTGGCTGTCGTCGAACAGCTTGTACTGCGGTATGCCGTCGTGCCAGAAGAACATCATCTTGGGCAGCGCCGCGTACACCGCGCGCATGGCCTCCCGGTCCACCTCCGCTATCTCCGCGACGCACCCGTCGGGGATCGGCGGCTCGGTGTATGCGGCTTCCGCCTGGCGGAGGAGCGCGATGAGCGCAAGGAGGGCGATGAGGGCAAGGCGCGACGGGACGGGGAGGAAGAATGGGAGGGCGCGAGGGAATGAGGCCATAATGCTGTGTGAGAATCTGGAAATGTGCGGATTAAAATGAGAGTGTACGATTGGAGAGGCGGAAATGGCACTAGAAGTATTTAGGCCCTACGTGGGCGCGAGGGGACGGGGAGGGGGAACGGGAGGTCGCGAGGGAATGGCGCCATATGTTGAGTGAAAATGGAAAGACTATCTGCGCGGATAAGATTGAGAGTGTACGATTGCGAAACGGAAATATCACTAGTAGTAGTATATAGTCCCTACTTGGGCAACAACTCGCGCACTACTGAGCCCTTGTATTGCTAGTACTAATGCCGGGCGTTGTTGCACGCATTTTCTGAGCGAGATCGAGGGAGGTCGAGTTTTTACTAGTGGTAAAGAGTACCTGTGACGTTTGAGTACAGTAGCGGCATGATCGGGTTTTCCCCACGTTCGGATCGTTGACTTCGTTGACGGGAGGTCAGGAGCGTCTAAGGCCGAGGACGATCGAGCTGAAGCAGAATGGCGGAAGGGGTGCGCGCGGAGTACGAGGCGCGTTCTGACCCGGCGCCTGCTGCGGTAATGAACAGCCAAAGGAACAGCGGGTACTGTCACGGCGCGATTGCAACCGCTAACAAGCACAAGGGGGGAGGCGTGAAGAGGGGCATGGCTGTTACACTACTGTGTGTACCATGAGTGGTGGTTGTACTGCTTGAGCCATTAGTGGTGTTGCCAGCAAAGAGCCTGAATAGTCACCGGTGAGTCCAGCTAGGCGAAAGCGGGAGACAGCTTTGTGGCACAGAACGAACCGAGGGTAGAGGTTTGTGTAATAGGTGGTGTGAGAGCAGCGGTGAAGGCGGAAGACACGGCACGACTTGGAGAGAATGCAGTGGAACGGGGAGTGCATGCGGAGGTGGGGGAGGGAACAAGGTCAGGCGGGAATCCAGGGGGGGCGCAGGGGGGGAGTGGTGGTGGTAGGCAGTGGCACTGATGGGATGGGGTGGGGTGGAGGGAGGGACGAATGGGTGAAGGCGGTTGTTTGTTGCTCGCTGGGCTGAATTCCCGTCGAGACGCATGTCGCATTCCAGGTGCCTTCTCCAGGTTTGGATGTGTTGCAGTCTGTGCTGTACACTACTTGAGACCTTAGTGTGTTCGTTAGTCCCGCAGCATGCGGCAGTTCCGAGTCGCAGGCCATCGCGAGGTATATTTTTATTATTGCAACACCGGAACGTGTATTTGCTGCGCCTCAGATACGTATAGCCCGCAGCTAACTCGGTCCACTAAACACATGCATATCAGCTCTGCAACAAACACCAGGAAATCTAACTGATAGAACAGTGTCATACGGATAGAAGCCTCCAAAACAGCAATTTATTATTTTTAAGTTCAGTCTAATTACTGTACAATAAGGGAAAAAAAGTTATAAGCACATTCATGGTTTACAGGTAAGCACATTTATGGAACATATAACAGTAGACGCTTTGCCTGCAGCCCACAGGCAGGTTCCATTAACACGGAAGCTGCGCAGAGTCCTCTCGCCTCCCCACGCCCTACACGCGGCCCTTCCTGGGCTTGGTAGAGCGCTTCTTGCAGTCAGGCAGGGGCTTCCCACAGAGCTTGGGGTTGCCGGGGCGGAAGCAGGAGGTGGGCAGGTCGGAGAGAGAGGGGGGGACAGAGCCAGAGAGGGCGTTGCCAGCGAGGTGCACTTGCAGGGAGGGGGCAGCAGCACGCAGCAGCGCAGGGATGGTGCCTGACAGCCCGCTCCACGACAAGTCCAGCTCCTGCAGGGCTGTCAGCGACGCCAGCCCTGCAGGGATGCTGCCACTCATGCGGTTGCGCGAAGCTTGTAAGGAGTGCAGAGTGGTGAAGCGTGAGAGGGACTCGGGGAGTGAGCCGGAGAGCTGGTTGTTGGAGATGCCTAGAGAGATGAGGGAGGAGGCGCAGGAGGAGGAGGAGGAGGGGAGGAGGGAGGAGAGGGGGCCGGAGAAAGCGTTGGAGGAGAGGAGGAGAGAGGCGAGGCGCTGCTTGCCCTGGCAGAAGGCAGGCAGGGAGCCCTTGAGCTTGTTGCGTGAGAGGTCCAGGTGGGTGAGCGCGGGGGCGAGGGCTAGTGAGCGGGGCAGAGAGCCTGAGAGCAGGTTGTTGGAGAGATCCAAGTGGGATAGGGCTGTGAGGCCGGTGACAAGAGCATTGGAGATGCTTCCTGTGAGTTTATTGGAAGAGAGGTCCAAGTGGGAGAGGGGGACGAGGGAGGAGCTCTGGCTGTTCCCTTGGGGAGGGACTGGGATGGGGCCAGAGAACTGGTTGTGGGAGAGGTCAAGCAGGGAGAGGCACGCGGAGAAGACGGAACTAGAGATGCTCCCAGTGAGCTCATTGTGGCTCAGCCGAACCTCTGCCCCACACGTATGCACCATCCTTGCTGGAGCAGCTGTCACGTTCCCCCAAAATGGGAAGGACTTTTCTGAAAGAGTGCCAGAGAATGTATTGTAGGAGAGGTCCAGGTAGGTCAGGCTCAGCAGCCCAAATCTGTGACCCAAAACCGGCAGATTTCCAGCCATTGCATTGTGAGACACGTCCAGACTTTCCAACCACCGACCATCTTGATCTTGCCACGTGGCAATCCCATCAAGCTGGTTCCAGCTCACGTTCAGATGCACCATGCCAGGCGGTGTCGGTGGAACTTTTCCGGTGAGGTGGTTGTGGGACAAGTCCCAAGATTTCAGGGAGCCAATGAGCTTGGGAATGGTTCCAGACAGCTGGTTGTACGACAGATCAAGCGTCTCCGTGTAAGCTGTGACGGCAGGAATTGAACCCGTGAGCAGGTTGTGAGACAGGTCCAACTCGCCCGACAATATGCGTCCCAGGAGAGGGGCAGGGATGGGTCCCGACAGCTGGTTGTGTGACAGACGCAGCACCCTCGAGTAGAATCCGTAGGAGTTCCCGAAGAGGTCTTTCAGCGGGGTGCGGATGCGGTTGTGTGACAGGTCCATGTAGGTGGTGCTCCACGAGGCTTTGCTGGGGCTGCACGTGAGACGGTTGTGTGAGACGTTCAGCGTGTGGAGGTATGGCCGGAGAGGGAAGAGCGCGGCTACATCGCCCGAGAGCTCGTTGCTGCTGACGTCTAGACGGGTCAGCAGCGGAAACACCCCGCGGAGGCCCCACAAGGCAGCAGAGTCGGCGGTACTGCCATCGCTGGCAACAGCAGAAGCAGCAGCAGCAGGGGGGGGGAAGGCGGCAGCGAGTGCAGAGACGTCCCCCTGGAGGGCGTTCCCCTGCAGCTGCAGGTGTGTGAGCATCCAGAGCGCGCCGAGCTCCCTTGGCAAGCTGCCGTCCAGCCGGTTGTGGTCCAGCGCCAGGCGCGTCAGCCCCGCCAGAAGACTCACGGCAGCTGGAATGGACCCCGACAGAGCGTTCCCCCCCACGTCCAAACTCTCCAAGCTCGGTGACAGAGACAGTGCTGCTGCTGCTGCTGCTGCTGCTGCTGCTGCTGCAGTGGTGGTCGGGAGGACCTCTCCCGTGAGGTTGTTCCCGCGGAGGGAGAGCTCTCGCAGCGAGGGGAGGGCGAAGAGGCCCGGAGGGATGGAGCCGGAGAGGTGGCGGTTGGAGGAGAGGTCGAGAGCGACGAGGTGAGAGAGGCGTGAGAGGGTCGGCGGCAGGCCGCCGGAGAGAACGTGCCCGGAGATGCGCAGCGAGGTGAGCTGCGTCAGCTGCCCCAACGCCTCCGACAGACTCCCACTCGCACTGCCGGAGCTAGCGCTGCCGCCATGCAGGCCCTGCAGGAAGAACCACACCGTATTGGGAGGCGGCGGAACGTCGTGCGCGCATGTCTGGTCGCCATACTGGTCGTACCAGCATTCGGGCGATTCCGGGACGAAGTTGGGGTGCAGCAAGACCTTAGAAGCGCCTATCAGGTGCAGCGTGTCCACGTGTCCGTCTTCCGTGCATCCCACGCCGTACCACGCACACGCGCTGCTGCTGCTCGCGTCCCAGCTGCGCAGTATCTCCGCCCACGAGCTGTTTCCGCCATCCGCCACCGATTTCGCCACTGCGCCCCCCCCTGCTCCTCCCGCTGCTTCACCTCCTGCGGCTTCCCCCAGAAGTGCATTGCGCACCGCCAGCAGCGCAGCAGTCTCCGCAGCGGAGGTCCGCACGTCAGGCGCCGGCGCGGGGAGGTACCCCGCGCCCACGGCGCCCGCCATGCGCGCGCTGTTGTTGCTCACGCGCAGCACGTCCCAGTCGTAACTCCAATGACCATACCGCGAGTCCGAGCGCGCGTCGAACAGCGGCCCCTGCAGGTCGTTAAACCGCAGGTCCACGCGCGAAAATTCTCTGTAAAACGCCTCGGGAATGCCGCCGGAGAAGTTGTTGTGCGACAGATCCAAAGCCCCGGACGGAAGCACCGTGAAAGCTTTCAGGCTGCCCGAGAGGCTGTTGTGGCTCAGGTCCATCATAAACCCACGAAAGAGCCTGCGCCCCGACTGCGCGTTCGTCGCGAGGAACAGGTCGGGCGGAACGTCCCCCCGCAGCCCCGCGTGCGGAGCGCTGAGTAGCTGTAGCTTCGCGGGAAGCACGCAGCTCTGCAGAGAGCCCTCATCCTCCTCCTCACCTCCGCCGCCGCCGCCGCTGGCGCCGCCCAGGTCGTTGAAGCCCAGCCAGAGCTCGCGTGCCGGCAGAAGCGCGTCGCAGAACGGCCCAGTGAGCGCGTTGCTGTCGAGCCGCACCTCGTCGAGCGCCTTGAGGGAGTCGCGCAGCGCAGCGGGCACCGCGCCGGATAGACGGTTCTCCCCCAGGTCGAGTTTCCCCAGCGCCGTCATCTCCGCCAGCGCGGGCGGAATGGCGCCGGACAGGCTGTTGTTGCGCAGGATGAGCGCAGTAATGCTCCGCGAATACGCGCCCGCATCACCTGGGAGTTCCCCCGTGAAGTTGTTGCTCTGCAGGTCCAACTGGCGCAGCGCAGGCGCGCGGAGAAGGGCGCGCGGAAGCTCCCCCGAGAGCGCGTTGCCGGACAGGATAACCTCTTCCAAAGACGAAGAGTACGCGTCGGGCCCGTCAGGAAGGGACCCCGATAGGCCTTGAAACGGAAGTTGAAAATCCGGGTCGGTACTGAGTGTGCTCAGATCCACGTGGCGGAGCGCGGGCAGGCGGAAGAGGCCCGGCGGAATGGGCCCGGAGAAGTTGTTTTCGGGCATGACGATTTCCGTCAGCTTCTGGAGGCGCGTGACGGAGTCTGGCAGGTTTCCGGCGAGGCACGAGTGGCGGAAAACAAGCGACGAGAGCTCCGCGAGGTCGCCAATGGCGGGCGACAGCGCGCCGGGCGGGCAGCTTCCTCCGCTCCCAACGGGCCCGGGCATGTCCTGGCGGCTCGGGTCGGAAAAAATGCCCGTTATGCGGCCGGCGGGCGTGCATTGGAACGGGCTCAAGTCGGAGATCCAGTCGCAGGGCGAGGGCACAATGTAACAGTACGTGACGTTTCCGTGTTGGTCGAACATGCCGTCGTCCCAGAAGAACACCCCCTCGGGCAGCGCCGCGTTGTCGTCGTGCCAGGAGAACATCCCCTCGGGCAGCGCCGCGTACACCGCGCGCACGGCTTCCCGGTCGGCCTCCGCCACCTCCGCGATGCACCCGTCGGGGATCGGCGGCTCGGTGTAGGCCTCCGCCTGGCGGAGGAGCGCGATGAGCGCGAGAAGGGCGATGATGGAAACGCGCGCGGGGACGGGGATGGGGAACGGGAGGGCGCGAGGGAATGAGGCCATAATGCTGTGTGAGAATCTGGAGATGTGCGGATTAGAATGAGAGTGTACGATTTGAGAGGCGGAAATAGCACTAGAAGAATATAGTCCCTACGGGGGCGACAACTCGAGCACTACCGTCGCTTGTATTACTGGTACCAATCCCGGGCGTTGATGCACGGATTTTCTGAGCGAACTGGAGGGAGGTCGAGTATATAATGGAAGAGTAGTACCTGTGACGTTGAGTATAGTAGCGGCATTATCGGGTTTTCTCCCACGTTCGGAACGTTGACTTCGTTGACGGGAGATCAGGATGGTCTAAGGCGGACGAGGATTGAGCGGAGGTAGATTGGCTGAAGGGATGCGCGCGGAGTACGAGGCGCGTTCTGACCCGGCGCCTGTTGCGGGAATGGACAGCCATAGTAACAGCGGGTATTGTTACGGCGCGCATGAAGCCGCAAACGACCACAAGGGGAGGCGCGAATAGGGGTGCAACGTCACTACAGTGTGTACCATGATCTGTCTAGTGTTATTGCCAGTGAAGTGCCCTGAACTGGTGAGTCCAGCTAGGCGAAGGCGAGAATTTCACGACGTCGTTGTCACGACGTCGTGAAACAGGCACCAACGAACCAAGCCAATAGGTTTCTCGAAGGTGTGACAGCAGCAGCGAAGGCGGAAGACACTGCACGACTTGGAGAGAAAGCAGTGGAACAGAAGAGTGAAAAGACAGAGGTGGGGGAGGGAACAGCGTCAGGCGGGATCTAGGGATGATGGGAGGGAGGTGGCAATGGCACTGGTTGGGTGGGTGGGGTAGGGTGGAGGGAGGGACGAATGGGTGAAGGCGGTAGGTTGATGCTGGCTGGATTAAATTCCCGCCGAGACGCATGTCGCATTCCAGGTGCCTTCCCCAGGTTCGGTTATTCTGCTGTCTGTACTCGAGAGCTTTGTCTGTTCGTTAGGACGTGTGTGAAACAAGGGTTTATGAAAGTTCACGTTTTTTACTCGATTTAAGCAGGGTTTTATAACCTGAACTTGAATCGATTTTGAGATGTGGCAAGGTTCGCACGGCGAGTGCAAATTCTTGTATACTCACAATCACACACCAAGGTGCTAATTTGCAAGTTCTAATTTACAGAGGGGGAACCGAGCCGCAATTGGAGACTGTAGGTTACCCGGTTTCAAGCACACCACAGCGCGACACGTCACCGGAGCGCTGCTAAAAAAAGTGAGCCCTAGACCTCCAGCTCAACTTCAGCAATGCGCTGTGGTTGTGGTTGTGATCTTGGTTGTGGTTGCGACACTAGCCATCGTGGCACGAATTGTGCCACGTGGTGGCCATAGCGAGTTCAGCAATGCGCTGTGTCTTGGTTGTGATCTCATTGGCGCACGAATGAGTCGCGAGGTTCGCTGAAACCTCGTACGTGCCTGACACCACACACGTTTGGATCTTTGTGTTTGTGCAAGTTCACGAATTTTTCTGTATCAAGTTCACAAATGAGGGTTCGCACTTCCCAAACGGGGAATTTGTTTCGACTTCGGCGAGGCGGTTAGCGAACATTGGCGAAAAGAGTAACCACCAAAAGTTCGACCCTGATTACGAACTCCATAAAAAATCTCACACGTCCTTAGACCCGCAGTCGCATGTATTTTATTGCTAACAGTGAAATGTGTATTCGCGCCGCCTCAAATACCGGTACGTATCAGTTTCGCAAAAAAACATTAATTATTGTGCGAGCTCACTCATTTTATATATTTTAATGTTTCAGCTCTTTTGTGTTCTGGCAGTCTTATGTTTCCGTAATAATTCCGAGTTTTTTGTTACATGCTGCTTGTGTTGTATCTCGATCGGATAGTGTTGGGTTTGTTACGATGTGAAGTTTTATGAGAAGGCATTCCTGTATGCAGCAGGTGCAGACTCTACCGAGTACGAAGTTTGAGGAGTTTGAAGAGCCGAAGCGACGCAGCAACCGTCAGACCAAGACCGATGCAGGCATAAACACTTAAAGTGAAACGAGTGGGAACAAGTTTTGAACGGGTTCCCGCGCCGCACGGTTTTTGAATTCAGTTACAATAATGGAATGTACCCCTTAGAGTACATGGCTAGTCTAGGTCCTTTCGTATTCCCTTGTACTCTTATATAAACCCGATGTATGCATGCTATTATCAACTCAGTCATTTACATTCACTCTGACCTGAGATTCAAACTTCCGCTGCAACACTACTCTGCGATCAACCCTGAGCGATCATTTGGTAAATCCCACTTGGGATTGTAACATGGTATGAGAGCTACTCAGGGATTCTTCGCAACCTCACCTCCGTGAAACTCGCCGAATCAAGACCTGGCGAGCGGCAAACGCTCCAAGACCAAGATGGCCGGAGGATCCGGAGGCCAAGCAAATCTGACGGCTGAAGAACAACCCAATCCAGCTGCGACAAGTGAGGCGACAACCACGATCGGCACTGCCGCCCTCGAGCAACTTTTCACTCGACTTTCAACTATGGAGAAAGAACTCCAAGAACTGCGCAAAGGCGATGCGGGAATCTCTTCCCAACCAGCACAACCTGGACAACCGGCTGAGAAAAGCCGTGATACCGCCGCGCACACCTTCTCCCTCGACACAAACAAATCAGCAACAACTGCCCCCCGTCCAAGTGATGAAGCTATCAACTCTGCGCAAACACGCTTCCTCAGCGTTTCAAAAATTAAGATTACTGCCGCGTTCGACGGCAAGGATTTTTACACATGGAGTTTTGAGCTCGAGCTCCTCCTACAAACGGCGCAGATCTACTATTACTTCGACGGCTCTTACCCTAAACCGGTGGAAAACACCGACGTCGCCAGGGCTCAGTACTACAGTGAGTCCCTCATGGCCTAAAGCGTACTACTACGCAACATGACGCCTGCGGAACAACTCAACATATGCTCCTACAAAGAGAGCGACGCTCCAGCAATGGAAGCATGGAAGCACCTCGTTGAAGTTTACCAGTCGAAGGATTCGGTCACCTCCAGCAGGCTTCTCCAGCAACTCCTGGACATAAAGATGGGGCACGGAGAGAAGACAAATCCTGTCAGTAGATCTGCACTGTGGATGCCTGATTGATCCTACTGGGGGTTACAGGCACGTTTGCCTGGGGGGTTATGGGTGCACTCTGACCCGCTACTTAACAAGCCCTTTTATCCCAATGGTCTAGTGGTTGGGATTCTGACATGGTATCAGAGCGTTATCGGGTTCGAATCCCGGTGTATGCACATGTAGGCCGTTGCCGCTGTGCTCAGTCCTGGGCCTCCCAGTGTGGGGGGGTGTCAGTAGATCTGCACTGTGGATGCCTGATTGATCCTACGGGGGGTTACAGGCGCGTTTGCCTGGGAGGTTATGGGCGCACTCTGACCCGCTACTTAACAAGCCCTTTTATCCCAATGGTCTAGTGGTTGGGATTCTGACAAATCCATATATTAACCGCTGTCGCAACATCCGTGACCAGATCACGAAGCATGGGAGTACGATCTCAGAAGAGATTTTCGTCAATATAGACATTCAAGGACTCGGGCCTGAGTGGAAGCCCTGCAAGGCGTTACTCCGACAGCGAGGAACAATTTCAGAAGCCGCGCTATGCGCTGCACTCCTGTCCGAACAGCAGGATATGGACTCGAGCAGAACAAGCTCCGCGCTGCGCCGAGAGCGCCTTGCCTTCTACACGGACATCCGAGAAGAGCGACGACAACCAAGGCGCCATTACTGCAAAATATGTAAAGTCTTCGGACACTCAACGGATCGATGCAAATCCCGATCCAACTACCGCCACCCAAATTCCACTCACCACAACAATTGGGTCGGCCGACAAGACGCTCGTCATCCTCAACCTCAGCATCAGCAAGCTCGTCCTCCTGCGCAACACCGGCAAAATCAAGGACCACAGTCGGGAGCTCCCAGGAACGTCATCACAAATATGACGACACAACGCCGGCGCACCACTGAACCTGACGAGGAGAACGAAGTCCAAGGAAGACTACTGGAACCAGAAGAGGGATGGAATAATCCCTTCACCGAGGATCACTACTACCTGTACGACGAAGACGAGCAGGACTGGAACCTTCCAATCACACTGCGGGAAAGCCCGCCTCACGAAAATCAGCACTACGTACCAGTGGGCTGGAAGGAGGACGAAGATCCTCACTTCCACAGGCGCTTCAAGACCACCCTGGTAACTCCACGATTGGCGCTGCTGCTGCGCCACAACAACACTGACAACTACAACACATGGTACCTTGACAGCTGCTGCGGTCAGCACATGGTGGGGTCCACGCGCTATGTCTCTGACCTAAGTCGCGCCCCTGCAACTTATGTCACCGTCGCCAACAACGAGCAGCTGCGCGCCAACTCACAAGGACTTGTCACCCTGCAAGCACGAGATAGCAACACGCACATCTCGTTCAATGACGTACTCTACGTCCCGAACCTACGCTTCAACTTGCTCTGCGCTGGACAGCTCCGCGATTGCGGCGTCATCATCCACACGGACCTCGCGACGCGCGATCTCATCCTCACCTACGCTCCCCCGGACACTCCTCCTGAGGCATTCAAGTACCTCGGACGAGCTCGTTCCATCAATGGGATCTATATCCTAGACTTCGACATACCTCCCTGTCAAGCCTCGTCGGACGAGCTCGAGGATCTTGTCCCCCTCAAATTCGCCTTCATGAACAAGGAGTCTTAGGAGCATCCGGATGGAAGACCGTGGGTTCGCCGAAGCCCTCACCCGTGTGAAATCAATCTTCACGAACCTGACGCCCACGGACTGTGCACCACCTGTCACACACCAACCGCAAGTCGAACGGAGCAGGTGGAAAAGGAGCAAGCGGCAATTCAGGAAGCAGAAAGCGCTGAGACACAACCAGCAGGCATGACTACAGAAGAACTCGCCATATCATCACACAGCATGTTCGGCGAGCCAAGCAAGGAACTTGGCCAAAAACAGCAGGAGAGACCAAGGCCTTACTCGGACTCCCTACAATTCGTCCTTGA